AAGCGGTGCAGCTGACAGAGTCATCAACCAGATACTCACAGAGATGGACGGCATGTCGGACAAGAAGAATGTTTTCATTATTGGAGCCACGAACAGGTGCACATGTGGGAGTTTTGTGTTCAGTGATTGTTAGCACATAGAAAGTCCTGATCTCACTTCCTGTACCCCTCTCGTCCCACCAGGCCAGACATAATTGACAGTGCCATCCTGCGGCCGGGTCGTTTGGACCAGCTCATCTACATCCCGCTGCCGGACAAAGCGTCTCGCACAGCAATCCTGAACGCCAACCTTCGCAAGTCTCCTATTGCAAAAGTTAGTGATACACACATACAGAGATTCATTACTTTCTTATCTACACAACATGGAAGCACAATCTGCGTTTGTATATCAGCCAATAGGAACACTTTACCTGCTGTGTCTGGTCAAGGTCATGGGCTAGATTTTCTCTTAAGCCTAACAACAGAGCCAATAGGAGGTGAAGAAGTCTAGTTTTCTCTCAAACTGCTTGAAAGACAGTTATTATGATTTTTTGTCCAATAATGACAAAAATAAACTGTCTACTCCAGAGGCACGTTCCTATTCAACATCTTCCTCTCTTCTTCCTCTCCTTCCTGTAGGATGTGAACCTGGACTTCCTTTCTGGCATCACTGAGGGTTTCTCTGGAGCAGACCTGACAGAGATCTGCCAGCGGGCTTGTAAGATGGCCATCCGTGAGGCCATCGAGGCCGAGATCAAGGCTGAGCGCGAGAGGCAGAACCGACCCGGCGTCCCCATGGTCAGACTGTCAGACTGGCGGCTACAGCTGCATGCTTGATCCTACACCATACTATAATATGTTAAGCAGGAGAACAATAACTGGTGTAGTGGCCGATTATGCAAAATAGAATGTTCAAAGGCCACTTAATCTACGAAGCGAATTCGAGTATTGACTCGCGTACATTTAAGAAATCCAAATACCTTGCGCGTTCCATTCAAGTGCTTTATTAGAAAGTTCACTGGATCAGCTGGCAACCCACTGCCAACTTGCAACATTTGCACTGCATTTAAATTAAATAAACAAACAAATCCAACAGGCGTACGGATGTGTGCGGTCAAAAACTTTTTCCGACTTCCTCTCTAGACCTCCTGCTGTGTCACGCTGGCAGCGTCATTTATACCTGAGAATGCGCACTACATTCTACTTTCTATAATAATAACAAAACATAAAACTAGAGCAGTCCATAAGCTAAACAAAATGTTACAAAAACGGTATAATTATCATTCATAGCTATTCAGTTCATTTGAGTTAACTTAAAAGAATATTCAATTGGCTCACCAAACCATAATTAATTACCATAAAATAATGTGCCTAAAAGGCTCTTAAAACTGGGTTCTGTGACTTTGGTGACACTTTCTATGACCCACATGTCTCTAATGCACTATATATCTATAATCCCTTCAACTGCTCAAAGCACTGTGTATTTTATAGTTGTAAGCACTCATAAATATTAATAATTCTTTATTAAAAAAATTATAATAACATACTATAATGTATAATGACTTATGAGGTCAAATGTCATAAAGCGTTATAACTGTTGGTCACTGCAAGGATCAGGGTTTCTTGCTAATTCCCATGGTTGTAATACTCAATTAATAATATTTTAATAAAAATCATAATCACTATAATCATGTTTTAATGTTATCATACGTTACTCAAAGTGCTCATTGTTTGCTTTAAGTGAAGTAAAAATTATAAGTATTGTTATTGTATAGAATTAAGGATCACTTTTTCACTTAATTTTAAGTAAACAATGACCAGAGTAACTGGCATTATAACATTAATAATAATACTCTATACTATATATAGTATTACAAATACTGTTATACAATTATTGCTATAAATCATTATGAATGTTTATAATTTATAATTATACTGTGTACTATAGGAAGATCATAATGTGTTATAAGTATGTTTATTATAGAATTAGGTGTCATAGAAAGCGTAAGCGTGACCTGTGGGTTTTGTTAATTTCAGCCTTTGGACTGGGAACACACACACACACATACTCATTGCATTTTTTCTCTGCCTGCAGGATGAAGACTTTGATCCAGTCCCAGAGATCAGGAAGGACCACTTTGAGGAGGCGATGCGATTCGCTCGTCGCTCTGTCAGTGACAATGACATCCGCAAATATGAAATGTTTTCTCAAACTCTGCAGCAGAGCCGGGGTTTTGGAAACTTCAGGTACATTTTTATGAGTACAATTCATTTGTCACACAATCATATGTAGTCGTGGATTCTTCTACAGATATTTGAAGTATTTATTTGTATCCCCCCTTCTAGGTTCCCCTCTGCTACTGGTACCCGGTCTGGAGGTCAGGGGTCAGACTCTGGGTCAGGGGGGCCGGGACAGCAAAGTGAGGAAAGCAATGATGATCTCTATCAGTGACAGAGTTGGGATGTAGTGGAGTACAAATACTTTGTTAGTGTACTTAAGTACATTTTTCTGGCATCAGTACTTTACTCCACTACTTATTTTTCTGACGACTTTTGACTTTTACTTCTTACATTTTTAACACAAATACCGGTACTTTCTACTTCTTATATTTTCAAAACAGGCTCGTTACTTTAGTTTTAATCTGCGTTTGGTGGTGTGATAATTATTATTTAGAGTCATTGCGTGACTATTGATTTGAACACTATCCATGTATCCATAATTTCCTGGTCTTCTCTAAACAAGAGGGACCAATGAGAATGGCAGACGTTAGGGAGGAAGCGTAAGAGGCAGAGACAGGTGATGAAGTTAGCGACAATACGGAGAGCAGCGGAGATATTAATCTCCCTCACCCATGGCCATACAGTATCTGAGGGTGATGCTCGAAATGATCGGCATCAGAAGCGATTCCTGGCAATGTGTGGTTCAGGAAACTATTGTTACGCTGATGTGTTCAGCTACAATGTTACTTCATGTTAATTTGTTTGGTTTTCGAAGACACGGACACAAACACACACACGCACACAAACAACATTTTTGAGTTGGGTTGTTTATTAATTGATCCAACAATTTTAAATAAAGTTCACCATATAACTTGTTTCAATTCAGTTTTTTTAAAGCATTACCATAATAATTGTTGTGTTGTTTCCAAGGAAGAGGCAGAGTCACCTTAGAATCTACAATGTATAGGCGTTTATTTCCCCGCTTTGTTTTTCTTTGCTTGTTTTCTAAATGTGTGTTGTTCAGTGTTGAAACATTCATTAGCTAACAATGACATTATTACAATTTGAAATAGAAGATCTTTAATGTTCTATTAATATAAAGTGAGGTCCAGTTACCAGTATACTCTATGAAACAGCTGGCAGTTATGGGTACTTTTTACTTAAGTAAAGCCTATACTTTTTTACTTTTACTTGAGTAAAGAAGTTTAGTCAGTACTTTTACTTTTACCACGAATATCTGTACTTCTACTTGAGTAAAGGATGTGTGTACTTTTGCCATCTCTGCTAATTGGCAACAGGTGAGGGACATATATTTATTATCTGTAAATGAACACAGATACCTGGTATTAACACACTATGACACTATGATGGAGCAAATAATAAGCATTAACTTCACATCATATATTTTCCATAACTATTTTAGTTTTGTGTGTAAAGGAAATAAAATCTTGACTGAATCTTTGTGAAACGCCTATGGAGTTAGGGTTTAGCCAATAAAGGAATATTTATGCATATGTCATATTGCAGTTGATTCTAAGGGCTCGTGGCTTTTCCATTAGATGTTTCATCAGATGTTATTTATAAGAGAAGCCTAAATTATCCTGCTGTTTCCCTCCTTATCAAAATTACAGTTTTTTGATAAGGGTCCCCCCTTGTAAACATTTTACATTTTTGATAAGGGTTCCCCCCCTTAAATATAACCTGTGCAACACCTTTAAGATAAAGAGCACACAGTATTAGCTCAGTTAACCTTCCTGTGCAGGTATCATGTTACCTGCTGGTAAAACTACTGAATCACAACTGTAAATAATATTAAAGATGAGTGCATACCAGTGTGTCATGAGTTATACCCGAGTCACTGCTGCTCAAACACGTGACCCTATAAGACCACACATATATTACATTGGACACATAAGGACAGTTAATAGAGTAAACTAAATATAAAAATCATAAAAGAACAGCTGAACAATGATATCCATTATCATGTATTTGAACTGAACAGTGTTTTCTTCTTCCACTGCTGTGTTTAGCCTCCTTGGAGAAATGGAATCACGGAAGAGAAAGTGACAAGATACCAAGGGGATCATGTGGACAATAATAGTAATAATAATTATAAAGATGTGTGTAATAATTATAAAGAAAAAGTTTTAAAAAGTTGTAACACAAAAATCACATGAAAAATGTCTTAGAAAATGTTAATATAACAGAAAAAACGTATACTAAGACAGTTGCCTGAGATAATAAATGTTTTAAGCATAATAAGTTCAAAGCTTTAGGTTTTCACACTCTACTCTGTTTGCACTATGGAGGTTGGGGAAGTTGTGTGTATGTGTGAGTTTAAGATGTGATGAATAAATATATAAACGACATTAATATTTACTTTTTGTAGGTAGGCAGGTAGGCAGGTAGGCAGGTAGGCAGGTAGATAGGCAGGTAGGTAGATAGATAGATAGATAGATAGAGATAGATAGATATTGAAATGAAATGACAAGTTCCCGTACCAGAGGTGCTTAAAACACGCGCACATACACAACTGTTCGCAAAGAAAGAAAACAAACAATATAAGACAAAAACAAGAAGAAAAGGGCAAGACAGTTAAAGTGTTTTGGTGAATAAATAAAGCAGATGTACGATATAACAAACAATGCAGTTGTATAATATGATATAGTTAATATTTATTCTATTTAGATTTTGCATTAGTAGTGAACACCACTTTTAGAAAACAAGTTTCTAACATCACCAGCCCCCTGCCAGCGGAACCTTTGTCACTTGGCTAGAGGGGAAGTGTTTCTGGGAGGGACCGCTCCGCTGTTTATTTCCGGTGAAAGGCGGAGGTGGCTTGTGGAGGTGACCGAAAGGCAGACAGCTGAATAATTTTGGAAATAAAATATTAACGCTGAGCAGAAGTAAACTCAATATATAATTTGTTGTTGACAGTGTATAATCATCGTTGTTGCCATGGGAGCTCACCTGGTGAGACGGTATATCACCGAGACGGACACCGAGCCGGACCCCACCAAGAAGTACGAGTTCGACCCCGAGTTCGGCTTTGAAGAGAGGGAAGCGAGAGGTTTGTTAGCTTAATGCACCATACAGTGTGTTTATAAACACCTGGAGAGAAACAGAGTCCATTGTCCTCCTATCTCAGCTCGTCTTATGTTAGCCGAGCTAGGGTCGAGCTAATGGCAACATTAGCTTTAGGCTAACTGAGGTGCTCAGTGTCAAACTGCTGCAGATCTGTGCTCACTTTGTGCTGCATTCCACCATAGGCTCCTGTTTTACATGCATTATATCGATATTATAGTTTTATTCTTACATTCTGTAACTGTTATACTCTCAAATATTGGGATATTTGTATATGCTATCCCTAATTATTTCAAATATTTAGTGACATACCTGTCTTGATGAATGTTTATTTATACATTATCAGTGACTATAAATATTTTAAGAAACCACAAAGGAGCAAAAAGCATTTAACATGAAGAACGACTGACCAAAACAATACACAAATCCAAAAACACGTCAACACAATTTAGGCAAAACTACAAAGTAACTCCCACAACAAAAGACAACAGTTAAATCATTGAAAAATTCACTATAAATACGTTACATTGTTCATTAAAAGCCCTAACCTGAATTCTATATTGATATTTACAGATTGGCTGTTGCAGTAAACCAGGGGCAAAATCACTGTTATCTGAGAACACAAATACAGATATAGAACGTAGCACCTATGATGCAGCTTCTGTTGTTTTTAAAAGTCACACATAATCAAGAATATTTCAATATTCATATTCTATGTTTATACTAAATTGGCAGTGAACTCTATCTGTTATGCAAAGTAAGGTGTATATAAGAACTACATTGATGGCTTTTGCAGATGCATACACAATTGTAATTCTTTAAATACAAACTGATTGAGATGTTATATCTTAAGCAAAAATGTTCACAAAGTTGGTGTAAGTGAACCTGACTTAAAATAAAGTCTCCTTTTACATAGACCATTTACAATCTAGATTGAGTATGTTTTATTGAAATGGCACTGTGGCATGAATGTGTTTAATAGTGTCTTGTATTTGTAAATGAGGGTTCTAAAAAAACTTCAGTATAATAATTTAAATGTACAGCCTTAAGCCTAGACTGCACATGCATAACGGACTCTGTATTTGGACCACCCTTTCATCTAAAGTAAAAGACAGAGAATCAGCACTTTTGAAACAGGGTTTAAACAGAGGGGTTTATGGGATGCTACAATGCATGATCTGTTTGGTATTTGGAGCCAAACACTTCAGAGACATGTTTTGTATATATCTGAGACATGTTTTGTATATATCTGAGACCTATAATATATTGATGAAAAACAGTATAATAGGGGACCTTTAAGACTCCCAAAGTAAATTATATAGTAACATCAGGTGCTTGAATTGTAAGATGACCATGAAAATGTGTATACCTTTGCCAGAGATGGTAGCCACCCAGGATCAGATGAACTTGGCCCAGCTGCCTCTGGAGCAGAGGGACTACTGTGCCCAGCACCTCCTGAAGTTCATGAAGTGCAAGAGGGACAACTGGCCCAACTTCCTGGCCTGCAAGCATGAGAGACACGACTGGGACTACTGCGAACACCAGGAGTAAGTGCTGACAGCCGAGTCGAGTTATGACATTTAAAAGGTCGGGGTTAGGCGCTCTTAGCAGACTCACAAATATAACCAATGAAACTGGGCCTCTAGATCTAGTCCTTTAATTCCAAATTTGAAAAATACAATACATTTGTTTTCAGTGATAGCACAGGAAAACCCAAACTAATTAAACTGTCTGTTTTATGGCCTTTATATATACAGTTTTACTTTGTTTCAACAAGGTCGAGTTAGTAGGTGTTATGGTGCTTTAAATGGTATCACACGTCTATGCTTCTTTAACAGTTGTCGTGCAATTGTAGCTGTTAACATTTACATTTTTGTGAGCATTATAAGGACTTCTCATCGATATGTGTGATCTTATTAGCTAATTTCCCTTTTTGAAATCACAAAAAACTCCATGTTTTTTTTTCCAATATCTTGACAGTTTGCTACTAACAATAATATTTAATTAAGAGACAAGTATAGACCTCTTCTAATCTAGATCTTTGTAAATCTTGAGATGATATTGACCCACCTTGTCATTAACCATGCTCTCTGTGGTTTTCTGTCTCCAGCTATGTGATGCGTATGAAGGAGTACGAGAGAGAGAGGAGGCTCCAGCTGAGGAAGAAAAGAATCCAGTCTCAGCCTGAAGCTGCATGATCACAGCTGATGCTTCTTCTCTGTATATATGTGCCGCTGTCCACAATAAACACGATTGTTTAACCTCTACAATCCTCTGTCTTATTGTTAAAACATACAGTAATCCTCTGGATGATGTCACTATAAAGGTGGGTGCGATCTTTATTTACCTAAGAGCGTTTGATGGAAGTTTTGACCTGATTCAGGAAATGGTTTAAATTTCCTCTCATTTGATCTTGTCCAGGATTTCTCCTTTGTACTTTTGTTAGAACCCATGCTTACCAGAACATGAATATCATAACATTTTGATTATGCAAGTAAATATAATTAATGTATTTGTCGGCTAAAGAGAGATTATCCGTCCATTGAGCCCAATAAAGACTATAAAAATAACCTTGAACACTAGAACTTGAATGATATTGGATGCATTCAGCTGCTTAATGGCCTAAATAAGATGCCTTTTGATTTTCCTGTAAGACCAGTTCTTACATTCTGTAAAATCACGTTTTTTCTTCTTGTAACATTTTTTGGTAGGATCTCTCCAATGTGTGTGCGTGTACCAGAAAATGTACACATCACAACACCTGCCCTATAATGATAAGGGGGTGTTACCTTTCATTTATTATCAAGAGGGATTCTTCATTCAGTACGCCTGGGTACGAGTAGATAACGATTATAAAGGACGTTGCTGTATCTGGAGTGTTATTTTCTTTCCTACCTAAAATATACATTTAATAAATGTCGAAATGCAAGTCCATCACCATTTTTTTCATAAAGAAACATTCTTTGTATGACTTGAGGTATTCACGTTTCCGTTTTGTATTTGGTAACCAAAGATCACTCAGTTGTTCCTATCTGACAATTTATATTACATTTGAACCCAAACTAAGCCCATCAAATCTGTCAGACGCCTGACCCTCTGCAGTGCATTCGTGTAAAAAGCTCAAGGATAACCACACTGGTACAAATACAGAGAGCGGCAACTGAATCACAAACAGAGCAAGACAATAATTAGTTTTACATTTTTTTTAATAAATTACTTCAAACATCAACAAAATGACATGCTGTTATGATTTCAAATGTAGATGAATGGATATAAAAACTAAGCCTTTGAAATCTGACTGAATCTCACCAGATGCAGATTCAGCCTCAAAACAACAGAATTAGATGACAGCGTGGCAAGACATCTTTACATTATTTATCGACAGTATGTCATTCAGGATACACTGGCTCGTTTGAAGGTCAAGAACAGCTCTTGGAGACCAAACACACATAAGTCAATTAACCAATCAGAATGGGTTATAGGGAAATGAAAAAATAGAGCAAGCGTTGGTGCTTTACATTTTCACTCAATATTACAGAAATTACAGACAGGAAGCAAAAGAGGGGGAAAGAAAAAGGGGACATTATTTAAGCCAGTCAGTCTACTAAGCTCCAGTGTAAAACGGAGAGCCCCCTCTCAGTTAGCGGAGAGCTGAAGGGTTGAGCTCTACAGGATGAAGGGCAGGATGGGGGAGCGGAGGGGAGGGTAATCGCGGAACTCCTTCAGGTAGCTGCGGTGCTTCCCTTTGGCCCACACAGTCATCTGGATGAAACCCACCAAGGTGAAGAAGGCCACCGGCAGGCACTGGGTCATCAGTGTGAAGCCCAGCCAGGAGCCCAGCTGCAGAGGAGGAGGATGGTTACACACAGACCCATACCACAAGAGGGCAGCAGTGTATTTAACTCTCAGTGTTCATTCAAGGGAATACAGAGGGACAACCTAATCCAGTGGATTTATTTCAATTATCAAGCAATAAATAATAGTTTGATGCTGAAAAAGGCATCAGTAAGCATTTGAAGAAAAAATTACATTACCTCGTAGGTGTAGTTGGGGCAGGAGACCAGCACGAAGATCCAGGTGAAGGGGTTCTTGGTGGGATAGGGAATCTTCCTGGTCTTAGAGCCTAGATGAAGGTAGCAACAAAAGGAAATGTCAATCTAATACGACGTTTTATTACATTATAAATAGCATTCTATACCATGACATTTTTAGCTCCGCTTGTTCTTTTATTAAAAAGGGATTACAGAGGTGTGCTGGCCTCATTTCCATAACACTTGGGGGAAAGGTGTGGTAACAAAGAACCCATTATATTAAAGATATTAAAAGCTCATGAACGCATCGATGTCCTGAGAACTACTTTCTGACTCTGGAAGGAGGCCCTCGGTGGATGTCTGCGCTCTCAGAGTGTAACACTAGAGAGTAAGTGCTCTCCTCTCACTGGCTTTAAACGTTGAGGCTTACCTATAAAAAAACATGATGTCACATACCTTCATTTGAGCAATATTTGAGTGCAGGCATGTGTATGTGTGTGTGTGTGAGAGTGATTAACGTACAGGTGTTACTGTTGTTTGTACCTGGTGGACGGAGGTTCCGCAGAGCGATGTGGATGGAAAAGTTGCCGATCTGACAGAACTAAGAAAGAAAAAATACAATAAATAAAAGAGAGAAACATATTTATACATGTTCTGTTGAAGAAGAAAATGTAGGACAGAATATAGTTTAGAATGCCAAAAAAAACAACTATTTAAGTGATGCAAATAACAAGTAATTGTCTACTTTTTTGTCAAATTGAATGATGCTTGATAAGTGTCAATACTTACCAAGAATAAGATGAGGGCCAGTCTGATTTGCTGCTCCCCGTATACTGCATCAAGACATAATTGACAATAATAATGGTGAAAAAGAGTTATGATAACACAATGGTATAAGTTAAGTGTCTGGTGCATGTATACTCACTGGGTGGTGTGTACAGCGGGTGGTTGATGTAGTAGGCCATCCATGCTGCAAAGCCCCAGTAGTACGTGCAGTTCTGAAACAGGATTATTGTCATGTTCAGACTTGATTGTTGTGGCAGTAGCAATGCACTTCTCACTCATAAACTAAACAGTTCATGATTCACCTTTGACTCCTCATTTGGCAATATGAATGTACAGCAGGATAAGACAGTGGTAGAATGCATCTCACCTTAAAGATGTTGCGTAGCGGCATTGTACCATGAGAGAAGCGATGCACAAACAGCGTCTCCAGGTTCCTCTTAAGGAAGTGGAAGGAGTGACACATACAGGCGAGACTGCAGAAGGACAAACACTTGAGTTAGCTCTAGGGATGGGTATCGTTAAGGTTTGAACGGTACTACTACTTTTATCGATACTGCTTATCGATCCGGTCCTTTAACGGTACTCTTATCGGTTCTTTTGAAGAAAAAGAAAAGGTAAATTAACTAAACAAATTGTAAATAATGTGAACTTACGGAACTGTAAAAAACAAACAAAAAACAAGTATTTACTGCAAAAATACAGTGGTACAGAGCAACACAGGTGGGGCATACAGGTATGCTGCAAAAGGCCTGACTGTTCTTCTGGAGGAAGATTAAGGTATACATAACATACCTGACATGGATGGGGCTACAGCGCTACTAGAAAGACAGTCGAACCCGGTGCATTTCTCCGTCTGGATATGGTACACTTTTGCTAAATGTTCAGACAAATTGTTCGTGTTACCGCCCTTACATGCTAAACTCTTATTGCACTTTTGGCAACGAGCATTGTCCACATGGAGACCGGTAAAGTTTAACCACACCTTTTAGCGCTTAGTTATCTCCGCTGTGTGTGTGTTGCTGCATGTAGCAGCTGCGTGTGTGTAAACTGCCCCGCCCCCTCACACACAGACGGGGGAGAGAGATCTCTCGTCTGGATTGGAAAGATCGAAAATACATCAAAGACGCATTTTGTAGTTTTTTTGCATGTCAGAAACTGAGTTGGCGAAACTAAAACTGCAATATAATGTTTATGTAGCAATAATACATATGACATATCTTTTTTTAAATGTCTCCAGTACCGATAAAAAGACAGATAACGTCGGAGCTTAACGGTACCACTGTCTTTAATAATTCAGCCCCGGGCCCCTTTAATACCGGGGCTCGGTACCCATCCCTAGTCAGCTGTACTGTAGTTATCAAAAACAGGATGCTGCTAACATGGTGTCGATGTGGAAAGAGCACAGCTTAAAAGGAATACGCTTGGTTATTGACTAACATAAATACCACTCTTGTGTCTGCATGTTTAACATAAAGTAAGGCAATAGCCAGCAGCTGATTAGCTAAAGACTGGACATTGGGAATGTCTGGCCTTTTTTATCCTGCCACATATTTGAATTTAAAGCGAAATTGCCATGATCTATATTTAGTTCCCCAAATTAGATTTGTATCAAGTCATTTTACACTATGTTCCTTGAAGTCTTGTTTTATATATTTTTTAAGTAAAATTATAAAATTACATTTTTAAGCAAACTTCCATGTTTGGAGTATTTAAAAAAAATACAGTTTTAAAATATCATAGTTTCTCTTGCAGAAACTTGCCTCATCCTTTCTTGTTTCAGGCTAACGACATAACTTTCTAGAGCACTTTTGAACAAATCCAAAGGGTGGACATTGGTGACCTGTATAGAGCTTTAACTTATTCAATATATATGACTTTGAAAACAAGTTTCAAAAGTGCTGCGGTTGAATTCACATATGTCAAATGCTGTTTCTACTGTGACTTATTTTATACTGGTAGACAGTTGCCTTAAAGAGCAACTTGCAGGTTAGTGACACCAGTGAATACATGTGTAGGAAAATGATGTATACACTAGATTTTCAAAAAAATATACATAAATATACACAAGGGGGAGAGCGGCCGGTCTAACGTATGAATAAACATGGATCTGGACAATGCTAGTTTTGACACAGAAGAGGTTGAAAATATATATTCGAATGCATATGACGGACCACAACCATATAATTATGAGCCTGCTAGGCGTCCACGAGACCAGGAGCAGCCAAGGATTAGAAGAAATAACGGCCATCGGAGAGAAATGGAGCTGTGGTGTGAGGAGAATCAGTGGAGAACAGGGCAGCTGTCTTGGTGAGTGACCGGCGTTAGCTACAGTTAATGTTAGCTAACGTCGGTCACATCACAACATTGTAAAGTTAGCTATCATATATCAGGCTATAACTAAAGTAGTATTGATAATGTAGTAACGTTACTGGCAGGACTGTTGATACTGATTCATAACAGAAACTAATGCGCAACAGGCGCAACCTGCACAAACACAAGCTCACCATGATTAAAAATGGTGAAATGCAATGTAAAATTACCAAAAAAATACCAGCTCACTAAATCACAACCACTCAAACCAACTACAAACTACTACCGCAGATTGGGCAGAGAAGGAGTCCGAGAAAGTTGCTCCCCCATGTGACGTAATATGACGCGTTTGACGTATGACGTTAAAAAAAAAAGCAGTTTTTAGTAGCAGAGCTCAAAGTGGCTCCTTTCCCCTCTGAATTCCTGCCCGTATGTCTTGTAAAACATATCAAATCCTGCATTCCCTTTTCTTTTTTTTTTTTTTTTTTAAATTGTAATTTTCAGGCAAGGTTAAGCATAAATCTAGTAAAAAAAAAAACCTGCAAGTTGCTCTTTAAGTGAAATCAGCTTGCATGTGTTGGTGAAGTCACTGGTCTGGTCTGGATGTCATTAATGCTTGTTTATTAGTGACAGAGAATGTGGTTTGGTAGTGAGAGTGAATTTATATTTGGTGGAACTTTAAGAGGGACAAGAGAGGCGCTACTTAATTATAGAGTGTGTGAAGATGTGATGAGGACACTTACTGAACGACCCAGTGTTTACTGGTGGAAAAGTCATATTTGGAAGCGTAGATGAAGGGAACTCTGAAATAGAACATCAGATAGAGGACCAGAGGACCGGTGTACTCTGTGAGAAAGACCTGAAGGAAAGAGGGACAGGATAAGTTTGAGCCTTTTTAACAGTTTAAGTGTAGCCCTAATGTCATAATATTGATATACTTTTTGTTGCTGTGTTAGAAAGATAAATATAGCCGTCCCGCTCCTGGCAGAGCCAATTTAACTACGACACACACACCCTTTTTACCCAGAGGGAAATCTCAATATAGCTCTTCTTGATCCCAGTCTGATGTAGGTGGGCTTGTCAGGATTGTTAGATTGTGACAGCACAACATGCCCGCCCCCCGCCCCGCCCCCCCCCCCGTCTTTTGGCGGCTCCACGGTGTACTCACTGTGACCCAGCTGATCTGAGCTCCCAGGTCTCTGAAGTAGAAGGTTGCCGTGGTTCCCACAGGTAGTTGCTGCAGGACATCCTCGTCCTTCAGAGACTTCCCCTCTGAAACACAGACAGGTTTACTTCAGGAGACGTACAGAAAACGAGGACTTGATTACAGAGGGAAGTAATAAGATGTTCCCTTTAAGTATACTGACAGAAAAAGTACTTCCTGTCTAGTTGTACTAGAAGGAAACTCCATCCCAGGAACTTTTATAGAATTATAATTGTTGTTCTAAATAAACTGTATGGGGTTTATTTATAACTCATTAAAGACATGGTTAATAAATACTCTGTCGGCCTTAAAGGGGCCCTATAGAGCGGTGCAGTGACGACGAGTCCTAAAACCCGGAAGAGAGTTAGCATTTTACCACTACCGGTTCCCTCGTCTCAGAGCCAATGGGACTTCTCCATAGGATTTTGGAAAATAGCTGGAAATAAGGTCTGTGGTTGACACAAATTTAAGAGACGGATCACGTTTTGTCCTACAACATTAAATACATCAGCAGTAACCCCACTGGTGATTTTTGAAGAGTTTAAGTGTCTGAAAAACGATGGTTGTTAACAAGTGGCTGAATAGGACTACAGAAGTTGTCGAGGACGTTGTACGTCATTACACCGAACACGTAAACACTCCCGCTAAGTTTGTTTTCCCTGTTCTGCTTGAAAGCAAGTGCCTGCCTCCTGCAAACTGTTAAAACAAAAAGCTTCAGCTTGTAAAAAATGTTATCTGTATTTTTGAATATCGATCTTAAGTTGGCGTGACGTTGAAGCAGCGACCCTGCTGTAGTTCGTTTATAGCATAACGTTAGCATTTTGTTTCTGGCGATTAGATTTATGATTCGAAAATTATAAAAGTAGGGTAGACATGTAGAGATTATTCGGCTGAACAAAACGTGCATTTATCAAAAGTTCGTTCTCCACAGACCTTATTTCGAGCTATTTTCCAAAATCCTATGGAGAAATCCCATTGCTTTTTTGACGAGGGAACCCATGTGCAGCTTACTTCCGGGTAAATAAGTCATCCCTGCACCACTCTATTGTGCTTTTTGGGGTTTTCCCATTTCCTGTAGTGTGTTATATAGGTTTTTGTGCATGTAAATGGTCTGCAAAGGCTAAAATCCTGAAAATCCCCCCCACCCACATTTACATAGTGACATCACTATGTAACACTGGCTCTTTTATTGGTTAGCGCTCCAACACATTGTATGTGATAGGCTAAGGGTCAGGACATCACTAAGCGGTTGACTAATCACAACACAGCCGGTCAGCTAACCAATCAGAGCAGACTGGGCTCTGGTTTCAGACAGAGGGTGAAAACAGGCAGTATGGCATTAACCCTTAAATGAACAACAAATATTTAAACAATAGTAAGTCACTCTTTGGCTGACTTACTGGCATCAAGGCGAATGGACTGTCGGGTTGGGTACCACTGAGGATCTGAAACAGACAATAATATGTCACAAACATCTTAAGACAGGACATACATTTTTTTTTTTTTAGCTTGATGTTAAATCAGATTTATGAGGCTTTAGTCGCCTGCAGAGAGACAGCACTCACGGCTCTTGTGGAACATAGACTTGATCTCTCCGATAGTGGCATTTGGCTCGACCTGCAAATAACGCATCAGTAAATTAGTAGAGGGACACGTACACGTACACAAAAGGAACAGATAATAACCCTGTTTTCCATTCATGAAGGGGGTAAATTTAGCTCCCATACCCCGTGGACGTGGTTCATTTAACAGCTGGTATTAGGGTTTCAAAGCACACACACATCCACAGCCAAAGTACACAACCTTGTGCCAGGCTGCCAGAAATTGCCCAACTACCCGAAATATAAACCCAATGACTTCAAAACGGAAACATGAAGAGCTCACAGAGGCAGATCCGGACACAGTTGTTACGGAATGGTCTGAGGACATCAACACATTCCCAACATGTGATCAAATGGCAAATCTGTTTGATTTGAGCAGCTTTCACACTTCATACTGCTGCCAGAGCCCCCTCTTATGGAGTAGTAAAATCATTGTTAAAAAGAAAGAGTAAGATGGCTTACTCCTATTGGTTTATTTAAAATGTTGTCTGAGCCCTAGGATCTGCTATAATACTGAGCGCTTTAGTTTAAAGGCAACAATACGTGTACACTAGAGCTTTAACAAATGTTTATTATTTATATATTTTTGGAATTATATTTATTTGTGGGTCCGAAAAATGTCATAAAATTATTTTAAAAATGTCCACCAATGTTTTAAAAAGAGCAAATAAGACCAGTGTTTTTGCAACACTACACATGTAAGTACTGACTAAATATGAATTATAAATATAACTGGCTGTCTGTATGCTTTTGTTTGTTTATAATTGGTTTTTATTACTGTGCTGTTTCACCAATTATGCTCACATTTACTTTGAAACATGTTTGACTTCCCTAACCCATATGAAATGTGCTCCATAAATCAAGATTGGCGCCTTAAGCATTCATATTTGTAAATGACAACTTTTCTGACTGATAACCATTAATTTGAGATTATTAAACAAACTTGCTTAACACAGGTGCATATTAACCCTATTTTCATTATTTGTCCTATATTCGTTTCAGTATACAGAGAGTTATTTAACTTTTAAGACATTTTTTATTGGTATGAAAACAAACTCAGCAATGCACATTACATCCTAATAACATCTCAGGCATCCGCTTCAAATTTCTGTCAGGCCTCTGACATTTAGGAAGCTGGTGACAGGTTTCTCTAAACATTTTAGCAGTAAGCCTATATCACCCTGCTGGCCATGCCTCACTGTGCTAAGATGCTTCTGTGAAATGTAAACCTCTATGCGGCCCGTCACATTGACCAAGCAAAGGTGTGAAGACCAACACAAGAAAATATAAAATGATGTACTAATTTAAACTTCGATTGCAAATCATCAAGCCTTTAAAGAGTTGAACCACAAGGACACGGTTCAATTACATGTTAATGTTTGTCAGAGAGCACTTAACGTACTATCAACCTATGGCCAAGACACTATCAGATTACCAAGGCAAGCACTGTTCAGTATAGACAGTGTGTTAGTTAGGGATGGGTATCGTTAGGATTGTATCGATACCGATACTGCTTATCGATACCGGTATTTTTCGATACCGATACTGCTTATCGATACCGGTATTTTTCGATACTTTTCAATAATTTGGTGCTCAAAATTATAGACATGATTACAAGATGTGAAGATTAAACAACAGTCATTTTATTGTAATTTATTTATATTTATTATTTAATGTAACTTTTTCAATGTCATACCAAGCAGGTATGAGTGTGTTTGACAGTGTGTCTCTGGAAGGGGGGCGGTAATTAGGGGCAGTTCATAAATCCATGTAAACATGACCATTATTCAGTTAAAACGAGACGCTGCATGTGCACCTCCTAAACCGGAAGCTCCGGTCGGCTAACCATTATAATCCGTTTATTGCGTTTATTATTATAATTGTAATTATGGATTATCAGTAATCATGTTAAAGTTACACAGAGACATTGGATTAACCGTTTTTATGCCCTTGAACACAACTTTTGATCACAAAACAGCAAAGGTAAGACATAATTAATGCAGATAAAATGACGTAGAAAAGATCGCTTTTGCCAGTTATGTGCTAAAGTAGCCGTTAGCCCCGTTAGCCCATTTTGCTTAGTGTTGAAAGACTCTTGGTGTTGGACTTCTGTTCCGTGTAGGTAAAATGGTTAATATCGTCTGTTAGCTGAGTTTTTCCCGTTAAGTGGGTATGCATCATTAATAGGTTGTTAAATGTTAAGAAGCCTTGAGACGCTGTTTCTAGCAAGATGTTGCGTCTGCCCCTATGGTCTGCCCCCGGGAGTCTCACAATAAGAGTGCTGTTAGGAGAGATGACGAGTGGCATTCACAGTGGCCAATCAGAGTGCTACTCAAACCGGATATGTCACACGGGATGAGGGTTCCCAACCAACCAGAATTGTTTAAAGTTAAACTAAGGAAGTAGCGTAATTCATATACCGATAGCAGCACCATTTGTCCAGCGGCTTAACGGTATACCAATACCGTCCAATCAGGTACCGGTACTGACTTAGTACCGGTTCTCGATACCCATCCCTAGTGGTAGTACTGGATTAGCTCTTCTGTTAAGATGAAACGCCCAAAAAGTTTAATTTGTATGGTATTTTAGGACGCCTTGAACGTTACACCAATATGTATTTTCTGTGAGAAAATGCTCCTCAAAGATCACGTGTGACCTATCTGAAACGAATTGGTCTGCCGCTGAAATAAACTTGGCCTCTGTTCACGCCGTCCAGAGGACCGCAGGCCATTTTCAGCACGATGACATCACTGAGAAACCACCTCTCTGTGACCCTTGCCCCCACCACCTCCCTCTCTTTCAACAGGCTTCATTCAGTATTGAGATCACTGGGAGCGTCCTGTAAACTCTGACCCAGACATGATACAGGATTTGAGTTTTATTTCTAACTCAGTCTGTTAGTTCAGCGCCGTTAGCCTACTTTAGGAAACCAGTCCCATCGCGGGGCTCTCTGCCCAGATCCTGATCTATATCTGTCAGACTTTCTCTCCAAAAGGTGTTAATATTGTGCATGGTATCACCATGGGAACTCTGCTAAGCCGACAACAGGGTATAATCCAAGAAGGATAGCCCTTTATACTTGGTGGTCTTGAAGAGCAGCTTTTGAGCCTGGCAGACTAACACCACTGTAAACTTGGCTAAGTCGCACACCAACAGCACACTAAACCCTCCTAATGCAGCAGCACTGACTTACAGGCAATGTGCAAGGTACTGTACATATACCCACTAAAACAATGATCTAAAACATCCTAACAAAATAAAGGTGAGTAATACAACACTGATACTCTCAAATCCATACTAAGTCCATCAGTCTGAGTCTAAATACGTTATTGTGTATCATCTTTAAAAACATTTGACATGACATTTACACGACAAGAACACGGTACAGCCCCAATGAAAGCCGAGAGCTTCCAGTCTCAACAAATTCTCTCTAGTACTTCTATGAAGGTCCTCGAAGCTGCTTCCAAAAACAAACTTTTTGGAGTCAACAATAGGTTATGTGCAGACTATCTTCCTTTTTCCAGATATGTGCTGCATTTCTCATGCCCATGTATCTAAAGGGATTGATTCTTTGCCCAAAACATAAATCTGCTCAGCATTTTGACCAAGTCTTACTTTCCATTGTCATAGAAATACCTTCTATGACATATACCTACCTTATATGCACCTTAATATGTAAAGACTACATCTGTCTTCAAATTAAATCTATTTTTCTTTTTGGGTACCAGGCATCTGTCTAACAGTGTAGAGGGGTGTCTTGGGACTCACAAGTTGTAGAGAAGTTATTTTATTGGTGTAACTTCTGACATCAAGTAGGCTGTTGTGTTGGTTTGCACAGCTGTACAGTTGTTTATGCCATGTTGTTTACCAATGTGATGTGTGTGTGCACAGATAACCGCACACAGACAGCAGGGTTGTGTTGCGTTGGGACTGTAGTCTCATTTACACACACACTGACTGACAGCGAGGTCTAAAGCAGATCAACAATGTTCTAGAAAGCGCCTGACTCGCATACACAAACGCTTTTTACTGTAATATACTGTAGGGGCAGAAATACCGCACCTCTTGCATTAGGAAACACACAAAACAGCTACATACAGCTGTAAAATACTTTTTGCAGAGCTGATGTTAGAACAGAAATCCAATGAAAACAAACACATACAAAAAGTTCTCACCTTGTCCAGGAAGCAGAGCTTGTCCTTGGTCTTGGCATCCAGTATCTCCACCTCAAAGAAAACAACAGCTTTTTTAGTTTTTTTAGCAGGTTTGCGTTTGGCCGGGGCTGGAGCCGGCACACCGTTAGCCGGCTTTTTAGTGCTGGTAGCCTCTAGTGCTAGGGCATCCATGTCCACAGTGCTCCTCCTGCACTCGCTTTATTCCCTTCTTCCTCGCGGTTCTCTTGTCACTCTTCACCTCTCAACTGTCTCCCCACTCCAGACCATAGAGAGCAGCAGCACTCAGCTGTGGAAATAAATCTGTCTCTACCCTGCGTCTCTACCCTGCTTCTCCACCCCCTACCTCCTCTCTGCCATTCTTTCACGCTCCCTCCCTCTTTGCCCCACGCTCATTCCTTCACTTCTGCTGTGTTGCTTTATTTAACTGCCAGCCGACCCCTGGAGCGTGGACATATGCCACATGTGTGTGCACAGTTGCATACACAGGAATGCCCAGTATCCCCCTGGCAAACTATCAGCAGTAGATCATCTGTGTGTCAAGAAGGAAGCTTCTAGAGACAGAGCTATGTTTCCAGTGACTCGGTTTTGAAACATAACTCGTCCCTAAAAAAAGGTCACCTGACGACCCGTGAAACCTCTCAACCCCTGGTTAAGTGGTAAGATGGTGGAGAGGTATTATGACGAACAGCAACACCCCTTTCCCAGTTTGTCCCCACTCTTCCTCTCCCCAGCTAAATATAAACGTCTACTGCTAACTCTGCATGACCAACCCTTTCCCCAAGGACCCCCACGCGTCTACGACTATGTGATGATGTCATGGGCTAATGGTTTAAGACCCTCTCTAGTTCTGTCCATCTGTCCATCTACAGCCACGATGCACATCACCAACCTTTGATCAGACACCTAAATGCATCACTCTCAAGGTCTCTGACACACACTGACTGCTACAGTGTTTTGTACCTTCAAACTAAACGGAGCAGCCAGATCTCAGTCACTCACACAGGGAGTCACCTTTTCCTACCACCAACGGGTGATAATATTCGAGACTCTGAGGGCTTAGTTGGGGCATTCCCTTTGGAGAAGCCCACCCCACCCCCACCCTTCCAGTCTCTTATGACCAACAGTAAGTATTCAGTTACCATAAGAAATGTAAGACATAGCCACAAGGGGCAGCATGGGAGTTAAGTCCAGACATTTATCTATGGAAACTTTCATGTTGCATAAAAGCTCACCTTTGCCTCCCTCAACTTTGATCAAAGAAATACATGTATATGGGTTTTTTTCTTTTTTAAACATAGCTATCTGATGATTTTGTGTCGTGGCCATACATCATGGCAAAATATGTATTTACTTGTTCAAGATAAGCATTTACTTATTTATGTGCACACTAGCCATTCTAAAACTCGAATCAGTGTTATTTGTAATGGATTTACGGCCCTGCCTACACACAAGCTGCCCGTTTTACAAGGTAAACATTCATGTCTTCTTAAATCAAGCAGGAAACCTGACACTGCAGTTGGGACTTCTGAGAAAGACCCCCATCTCAGTCTTCCCGGTGCCAGGCATACCCACTGCCACTGAACCTCCCCCATCTCATCTATATAAAGCTACTGGTAGTGAGTCAGTCCTAATGCTCTTTGGGGTGAGGGTGAAGCAGGGAGAAATAACCTTTAATTACTACAGCGGACTGTTGCTGTTCTTCGCTGGTTCACTTGATATCCCAAGGTAAGAGGACACTTTTGAAATCTAGAAATATAAGGCCTTCGTCTTTAAACAGATTAGCAGACCATCTGGAAATGTTAATATGCTCCAAAAGTTTCTTGTTTTTTTAAAAACACACTAGCAGATACTGATATCCGTTTGTAAGAAAGAGAGATAATTTTGGAAGTCATGCCGCCTCGTAACTTGGGTGCTATCTGGTGACTGTCAATCTATTTTATGACCCAAGTGAAAATAAATGTCCCAAGATATTGTGAATTTAAAAAAGAAAAAAATTCAGTAGTTTTAGTTTGTCAAATAATGCGTGTTAGGCTTTAAATTGATCTGTCGTGCCGTGTAAAGCATGCAATTTACAAAACGTAAACAGTGATCACTATTATGATTGAATCAATGAACTTGAACTTTTTAGAAGACTTCTAAGGTATACATAGAGGAACTATTAAACTCAAAGAGCACCTGTATGAACATGTGCACTGGTTATGGTGTCAGTAAGAGTTCACAACTAGCAGGGACCACATTTTATGACTTCAGTTAGCATACCCGTTGAAGATAATGCTCTTAGCACTCACCTGAGTGACATACTGGGTGGTTTAGTCGCAATACTGGCACTTTATAGGCCTGAATATCGCAGTGGTAGGGCTGCTCGATTATGGCAAAAATCATAATCTCGATTATTTGGGTCAATCATTGATATCACGATTATTAAAAACAATTATATATATTATATTTACTTTGAAAACATCAATTTATTGAAAGAAAAATGTGAACAATATGTTTTTAACAGTTGATTACCCTGAACTTTAAGTATAATTCAACTGAAAAACCAATAAAAAATTATTTAAAAAAAAAAATCGTTTTATTTCGATTATGTTGTTTTCATAATCGTTGCAAGCCAAAATCGTAATTGCGATTAAAATACGATTAATTGAGCAGCCCTACACAGTGGCCTCACACAAACATGTGCAGGCTTATTTTATGCAGTTAGTCCTGGGCATGCATAGTTATACCTGTTGTAGCTTATGTTGCAATAATGCCCATGTCTTATCATGCAGTTTCAACAGCCATGGCCATAAAAAAGTGAGTCAAGCTAATATATTACAGGTTTCAGGGGTGGCCCATTTTTACATATATGGCCATATCAGGTCAGTGCAAATAAATACTGACACATAAAGTTTTCGGGGGAAAAACCCTTCATGATTGAAATGTTGTTGCCCCCACCCCTTACAGGTTGCAACAGCCATACTGTCTTCAACAGGAAGAAGGGGAACAGGAGCAGCCACTGGTTGGGTCAGTTTCTGTCAGACTCCTGCAGATCCTGTCTGATGGGTTTTGGTGCTCATGAAACTCCTTTTCATGACTTTTATGAAAGCTTTTAGTGATTGCAAGTGTTTACTGGTTAAGTATAGCAAACATTTTACCTTAATGATAACATAGTGGAACAGGCCTGTGGTAAAAGTGTGGGTGTTTCTGAGGGACAAACATTGTTACTTTTTTGCTCTTTCCAAGTGACTTTCTGTCATCAACTTAGGTCTGACTTCAGCTAATGCAGCGTCAAACAACATAAGCCTTGAAGATTTATTTGAAGTTTAAGTTTGCGCACTTGACTGTTCACTTGCATTATTGGGTAATAACAAGATACGAAGCGCCATGCGCCGTTCCAGCCAGAGATGGCGATGATGCGGAGTTTTATCCTGAACAGAGGTCTCTGTGTTTAGCTAACAAAGACATCCAGCATATATCCTAAAACATGATAAATATGCAACGAAAGCATAATTCGGCATTACTGTGGAGGCAGAAGGTCGACTTTTAGGTACGATATAAGCCGATATATGCCATGCACCGATAGGCCACAAATCCCCGGTCCTAGCAACCAGCCCATGACAGGCGGCGTCGCTGCATTGTGTGATCCTCGCTGCACATGTTTAAAGCTATAAAGTGCCTGTTTTGGTGGAGTTTACTTTAACAGAAATCACAGCCATACTTCGTATTGGTCTGATAATTACATTATGGCTCCATTTAGGGGTTTCGAGTTTTAAAATCACTTCTTACCTCGTAGTGCTTCATCTTGGCAGCTTGCACCCCCTTCCTCAATATCCCAGATGATTGACAGAGCCGCCCTCCACTCAGCGAAGTAACGTGCAACTGCTGGACCATAGTAGGCGGGACCTACGTTTATGTTGCAGCCAATCAAAACCAGCAACATTCACGCCATTACGTTATCACGTACACTATCAGCAACGTAGCCAATGAGATTTGAGCAAACGAAAAGGTCGCCGCTATGCTAACATAATTGGATTTATCCAGAGTTTAGGACTAATTTCTCTTTGAGAAGCAGCTCTGTCCGTCTGTGCGCAGGTGGAGCAGACTGGAGATTGAACCACCTTCCTTAAACTGTAAAATGCATGTCGTCTTTAGAGATAGATAGATAGTACTTTATTGATCCCAAATTGGGAAATTGTTGTTGTTACAGCAGCATAAAAGGCATTTTACAATAAAACAAAACTACAAAATATACAAGAATAGAAAGAAAAATAAAATAAAATAGAAAATATACATGTTGAAATAGAAAATATACATGCAGATATTATATATACAAATATATATATATATTCAAAATATATGACATTATGGAATATGGAGTATAAATATTGAACAGATTATAGAGTAAAATGTACAACGTGGTTTTATTTCTAGAGAAACTATGGAGCAGAGAGTTCTCTTCCAGCCAGAGGTGATTTGTTGTACAGTGTTATTGCAGTGGGCAGGAATGTTTTCCAGTATCTGTCCTTGTGACAGCGGAGCTGCAGCAGTCTGTTGGAGAAGGAGCTCTGTTGACTGTCCAGCTGCAGGTGGAGAGGATGGGTGGTGTTATCCATGATGGACAACAGCCTGTTTAGTGTCTCTCCACCACAGCTTCAAAGGGGTCCAGCTTGATGCCGATGACAGACCCAGCTTTCCTGATCAGTTTATTGATCCTGCTGGTGTCACCGTCTCTTATGCTGCCCCCCCAGCAGACCGCAGCAAATAAGAGTGCACTAGCCACAACAGACTGGTAGAAGATCTCCATGCATACGTTGAAGGATCTCAGCTTCCTCAGAAAATAGAGTCTCGTTGGCCCTCTCCAGGGTGCCCACAGTCAGTCTGTCTCTCTCTTTGAAGCCAGTGATAGCCTTCATCCCAGCCCAGACATCCCTGCTATTGTTCTGCTGGAGATTCCTCCAGCTTCTTCCTGTAGGAATCTCTGCCCCTCCTCAACTTGTCTCTCAGCTCATGCTGGATACTCTTCAGCAGTGATTTGTCACCAGACTTAATTAATTGTATCTCTCTTTTCTACTTTGTTTTTTTTGTACTCTTTGTGACAAGTAACAAGTTAATTTTCCCTAAGGGTAATCAATTAAGTTCTTATTTTAATTTTTGCAATTGCTTTTGCCTTATATCAAATCTGTATTTGCATTATATTGTATAAAGGAATATATGTGTACAATGTGTTTTCCTTGTGTTTTTAATTGCCCTAAATTAATAAAGTTTGCCATTTGTCCAGTATGTTTTCACTTAATAATCTCAAACCCAATGCAACATTAAGTAGTAAGGTGCATTTCAAAAACATGATTTTCTTGTACACCTGCAAAAAACACACTGAGGACAAAACGACCACACATCACTGTGAAATGTAAAACACAAAGCATAACAGTTATCTGTGAAGCCATTTAACCTGCAGTGATTTTTTTTATTCAAACTGACTACGCCCCTCTCATCCTTGAAAAACCGGTTTTCTTCACTTGACTCAGATCAGTATCTGTTTCAAATGTTCTAGTCACTATATAAAAAAAAAACTTTGCATTAAGTTTACTGATGAACACCTGATAAAATCCGGTCATGCAACACAATTGTCAAACTCCTTTGAGACATTAGGCCTACGAGCACAATATATAGTGTTATCTCACTCCAAGGCTATTTTGAATAAAGATGGCAGCTATGTTATCTTCATGCTTCTTGCTTGTTGTATTCCAGATTTAGCAAGAATTTAGAAAACATCTTTCATATGTAGAAAGATTCAGAAAACGGATTGAGAACACCGAAAGTGCTCAAATAAAATGTTATGCCCTAAATACTAACATGCACTGTTAGTAGTCTTGAATATGGGCCACACCCAGGCATAACAAGATTGCTGCCAGCAATGTAGTCAACGTTTCATTTTGGTATGGAAGGGGTTCAGTGAGTGGAGTATTTTTAAGGCTTACATAACAAGTATTCATTGTTCATGATATCTCTGCTTGGGACATGATTTGTGATATGATCTGCCATGTCAGTCATTTTCACAGAATAATGTACATGTAAGCATCGAATTATTGATTTACTTTATTTGAGTATTTCCATTGTATGCTATTTATACCCAACGTCTGTGAGAGAAGAATTGTACTTTTGACAATTATTAGATCTATGTTTATAGCTACTTTTTAGATTAGGATTTTAAACTAAAAACAATTGATCAATTCATAATAAACAACACATTGTTAAAGATTAAACATGTTTGCTCATCACACTGACAGGGTGTGGTGCGGAATTGAAATCATACAAAAGAAAGTTGTTCCAGACTTGTTGGTATATCCTAGTATTACCAACAGGAGATTATTAATGTGTGGGATTTGGGGTATCACTACATTGTATTAAAGTGAAGTTATTAAATATGCTACATTAAAAAAATCACCCAAATTGTGCAAAAAAAATCTTTCTGCAGGCTACTTTGTCGACGGTCCCTTGTTTTGAGTTTTGGATTCTCCAAGTTCGGATCCCTCAGTATCTTTCCAATGTATCAGAACCAGTTTAGTGAGACTGATAAGGCATGGTATGTGCGACAATATTTCCGACAGCCCTTGAAGGCAGCACGTCGTGACGTCGCGGTGGGCGTGTCGGGGATGAACTCTAGTGTGGAGACTGGAGAGCTTGAGCTGTTTATGGAAAACTCTAGAAGTTTCCACAAGGTTTATAAAGACAATACCCGGGACCCAGCGGTCTCAGAAGCGACAGAGCTCTGACTGAGGACGGACTACAAACAACTGTAACGTTTACTTAACAGGCCACTGGATGGTCAAAATGGGTAAAGACTACTACGACATTTTGGGAATTAAAAAGGGAGCGTCGGAGGACGATATAAAGAAAGCTTATCGTAAGCAGGCTCTGCGCTTTCATCCGGACAAAAACAAGGCGCCAAATGCCGAGGACAAATTCAAAGAAATCGCCGAAGCTTACGACGTTTTGAGCGACCCAAAGAAAAAGGACATTTATGATCGTTTTGGTGAAGAAGGTAAGATTTCACATAGGAATCATTAGCCTGTGAGAATGGGGATAACCAACTGATTACAGGCCTTCAGTAGAGGCTGGTTGTGAGGCACACAGGAAAACCACCAATACATGTTTCTACAAGACCAGGGGGACCTCCATGGGACCTTATTTCGGAAAAGTTATGCATTGAAGTCAATGGAGAGAGAAAGATTATCTTTCGATCCCGTTTGAATTGTGCCACGAATTACACATATGATGTTTGTCAATTTAAAAGATAATTTTACAAGTCAAAAAAATAAAACTGTGAAGTAACACTTTTTTTGTGTGAAACCGCTCAATGACCTACATCTCCCGTCTCGCACCACACACCAAGACGGCCGTCACGTTGGCACATTTCACTTCTTTCTTTCAGAATGAGGCGAAAGGTATTAAAAGAGGTGAAAATCACTACAAGTCTGGGCATGTTGAGAGCTGTACATACACCAAAGGGGAGTTAGTCGGTTCCGTAAGAGCCAGCATGCGAGACCGGGATTCTGGGATTTGTAGTCTTTCTAGTTGCGTATTTTTCATAGTCTTATATTTCAACAGTTTTACGACAAACTGTGACTTTTTTGACATGGAAATTATTATTATTTAAGATTGACAAACATCATATGTGTAATTCGTGGCACAATTCAAACGGGATCGAAAGATAATCTTTCTCTCTCCATTGACTTAAATACAAACTTTTTCCGAAATAAGGTCCCATGAGTCCCACCGGAAGGGGATTATGTGAACGTGAGTTGACAAGGGCAACTTAATGTTGTTGACGTCAGGAGGGGGCGGGGCTTAGCGTAGCAGCGTGCTCTTGTATTTGGATGTTTGAACGGTGTTGTCAGGGGGGCTTTATAGAAACGAGAGGTGGGGCAGTGCATGTACTGAAATACTTTGACTAGTAATACCTGTTCAATAACTTTAGTACATTTAGGAACGACGTGATGATAAAAACAACACGTTTGTAATTGAATGGAAATCTTATAAGAAACCCTTTAAAAAAAAAGGCTCTGCATCTATTCACTGGAGATGTAATGGCTCCCCTGATGTGTAACCATGGCAACATCATCATTTGGATCAACAAATGTCGGGTTACATGGATATCATGTTTTCCCCCCCTGGGATAACAATGTTTGTTTGCATCAAAGACATATGTGAACATTTAAAATAACTACTCATTTAATGGCTACACTAAAAATTAATTTAATGGAAATTATGTTCATCAAGGGAAACTCTTCAATGCATTCAAGCTAAGGATATTTCCAAATACGGAACCTGACAAGTAATACTTCTGCACACAGCTTGAAAACAATGACAGGCGCTGTAGAATTTTGTAGGTTTGTGTCACATATTTTATGGTGGTGTCTGTACACAAGAAAGATAGATCTTTCAGGGTTTTATCCGACATTTTCAAGGTCTACATATCCACTTATTCTTACTTTGTGAGGCAATTCTTATGCACAGAATCGATTGCAAATTCCAAAAGACACCCATGCTAATAGTGAATAGGACTTTAAAAGTAGCATTGAGGGACTTTTGTATTGTGTGTTTGTTAGATTTATTGATAGAGCACCTCACAGTAAAATATGCTGCCTGTTGCCATTTCGAATGGAAAATGTTTTGCCGTTGCCATGACTTCTTAGCCTCTCCAATTCATTTATCAAAATGCTTTGCCTCTGGTTTTGCCCTTTACTTTGTAGCTTGCCTGCACAAACTATAACAAGAACAATGTGGGGAAAATACCATAACCTATAACATGAATGATGCTATAATGAGTCTTGAAATACATAATTTATAGTGAAGTGAAGGAAGTCGTTTTGGTGATACATTACTTTGTGGTTTCTCTCACTCAGGTCTGAAAGGCGGAGGAGCACCAGCTCCTGGTGGTGGTGGTGGTGGTGGTTGTGCTGGGCCTGGCAACTTCAGCTACTCCTTCCAGGGCGACCCCCATGTAATTTTTTCAGATTTCTTCGGTGGACGTAACCCCTTCGATCAGTTCTTTGGTGCCCGCAATGGAGGCCCAGATGAGGACATGGACACTGAAGACCCTTTTGCCCGCTTCGGGGCGGGGGGCGGAGGGATGGGCGGGTTCCCTCGCTCCTTCAGCTCTGGCATGGGAGGGATGGGACCTCACAGTAGCATTGTAAAGAAGCCTCAGGACCCCCCCGTGGTTCACGATCTCTGGGTTGCGATGGAGGATGTTTTGTCAGGTTGCACAAAGAAAATGAAGATCTCCCGTAAAAGGCTGAACCCAGACGGGCGAACAGTAAGGAAAGAGGATAAAATCCTGGAGGTGCAGATAAAGAAGGGGTGGAAAGAGGGCACTAAAATCACATTTCCCAAAGAGGGGGACCAGACCCCCAGAAACATTCCAGCCGATGTGGTTTTCGTGGTCAAGGACAAGGCCCATCGGGTATTCAAACGTGAGGGCTCGGACATCGTTTATACAGCAAAGATTTCACTAAGAGATGTAAGTTTACATATAAGATAGCCTTTTTGTCACTTGTGTGATTTGCATACATATAATGACGTTTCCTGATCTTAAATCATGTTTTCTTTCTCCCTTTATTTCCATCAGGCCTTGTGTGGCTGCACAGTCAACGCACCCACACTGGACGGCAGAACGGTGACCGTGTCAACAACAGATATTGTGCAGCAAGGGATGAAGAGACGCGTGAGCGGCGAGGGGCTGCCTTATCCCAAACGCCCCGACCGTCGAGGCGACCTGTTAGTAGAGTACGAGGTCAAGTTCCCAGAAAGGCTCAGCCAGAGCGCCCGGGACACCATCGCTCAGGTCCTCCCACAATCCTAAACCACACCAACGGACATCTGGGACTTTAGGATTATCACACTAAGCTGCCAACTATTTTGTCAGTCAGTCAGTCATTCATGCGGCGTTACAAATCACTTCACAAAAGTAAAGACAGACTTGTGAGACACATTTGTGAACGCTGTCAAACATAGTATGAGAAACCACCTTCGGAAAATGCTAATCATAAATGACTGCAGCATTTCAAACGATATCATGTAAATATGACCAATATTGTTTGCTGTTTGGTTTACTGAATAAGATGATATTTTGATGAAAGAACAAACATTATAACATGTACAGTATATGAGGACAGTTCTGTTTAAATAGTTTTGTTGGTATCAAAGGTTCTCCACTGGAAAAATGTTGTATGAAATTGCAACATAAAGATTGAATTGTTTTTATAAAGTCAACCCATGTAAAGTTGATAATAAAATAAAACGTTGTCTGGCCTGAGAAACCTTCACTTCATGGAAAGAATGTGTCATGTTTATTAGCATTGCAGCTCACACAGTAAAAACAGCAACTCTACATTCATGTGTTGATGGACTGACTTTCCCAGAATCCTTATGAAAGAACAATCCCCTGCAGCCACTGCTGACACGAGCGCAACGAAGAAGGTCTGACAACATCATTTTTTAAGTTTTCACTTTCTTGCAAAGGGCCACCCGCAGGACCAGGGTGTTGCTCTTTATTTCTGCAAGGGCTAAAAAAGGAAGTTTACCTTGAGCTTAAACTGTATAGTCACGTTTCAGCCTCAATTATAGAAAACCATATCTGACTGAGGTATTGCTAAGTCTTCCTCTCTTTATAAACTCAATATTGACTGTTTCACATTTCTCCCACAGATCTCTCCATATTTAACCATATTTTAAGCTGGAACACTGCAATCACTTTATGTTTCATGTCTAAAATAAATACTTTTTTGGAAATACTCTTGTTCTCTTTCTCGCCAATAGTGAGATGAGGAGATAAATACTTTCCTCACGTCTGAATTAAAGAAAGAAGATCTTATCTAGCGAGATTTAAAGATACTTAAAACATTTGGACCAAGCTAGTTTCCCCCTACCTGTTTCAGTCTCTATGCTAAGCTAAAAGAGCCGGCTACTTGCAGATTTGTACTGAATGGATAGATATAAGCAGTTATAAAATAGACGAGGACAATATACAGTTGAGGCCTAAATTATTAGCCCCCCAGGAGTTATGGAACATTTTCCTAAAATTCTTCCCAATGTTTCCAGCATTGATAAAACTTGATATAATCAAACATTCACCAGTGCTATCTAGTAGCTTTTGGTACATTTTGGAAAATAAAATACGTTTTTAGGCTTGCTTTATATCAAATATAGTGAAAAATGGGTTGGTCAAAAATATTAGCCCCCATGTGAATTTTTGCTTTCAAGCCACACCTGAGCATTCAATCAGCATAAAAGGACTCCAAGAAACAGGCACTTGAATACCTTATTGAGAGGGACTATACTACTACTCCTACTCACCATGCCAAAGACAAAGGAAATCAGTCTTGAGCTCAGAAAGAAGATAGTGGAGGCTCATGATAAGGGGGAAGGCTATACTGCTATTTCCAAGCGCTTCACAATGTCTAGAACTGCTGTATGTTGCATTATTGCGAAGTACAAGGAGACACATTCTGTAAGAAACAAACCTAGGCGTGGTTGAAAGCGCAAGATTTCAAGAACTCTGGAGAGGAAAATAGTCAGAGATGTCAGCAAGAATCCCCGGACATCTGCCAAGATGATTGTTGCTGACCTGGCTTCTTCTGGAGTTGATGTTTCAAGGAACACAGTTGTGAGGGCTCTTCATCGTGGTGGGCTTCAGAACCCCTTTACTCAAAGAGTGGCACATCAGAGCCAGACTGAGGTTTGCCTGTGAACATTTGAAAGGTAAAGATGAGTTTTGGAAGTCTGTGCTTTGGTCTGATGAGACTAAACTGGAACTGTTTGGGCACATGGATGTTGCTTATGTTTGGCGAAATCCTAAGAACACATCATGCTGTAGGGCTGTTTTGCAGCCTCAGGCACAGGGAGCCTTGTTCGGGTGCAAGGCATCATGAAAAATTAAAATTATGTTGACATTTTGAGGGATAATATGAAAAAATCTGCTCTTAGTCTTCGCTTAGGTCGTCGCTGGGTCTTCCAACAAGACAATGACCCAAAGCACACATCAAACTTGGTCCAACAGTTCCTAAAGGACACCAAAACCAAGTTGCTGGAGTGGCCCGCACATAGCCCAGATCTTGATCCTATTGAGAATCTGTGGCGGGTGCTCAAAGTGAATGTCCATGCTCGGAAACCACCCAATTTGGACCAGCTGGAACAATTTGCAATGGAAGAATGGGCCAAAATCCCTCAAGAGACCTGTGCCAACCTAGTAAAGAACTACTCTAAGAGGTTGTTGTCAGTTGTGGCTCAGAAAGGGTACACTATTGACTATTAATCAATGCTGGAAACATTGGGAAGAATTTTAGGAAAATGTTCCATAACTCCTGGGGGGCTAATAATTTAGGCCTCAACTGTACGTAATTTCCAAAATGTCAAGCGATTGTATTCAACAACAAAAGAATTTGAGTAGATACATGTGAAAACAACAATCGTGTGTTATTCTGCAAGTTAATGTCAGACATCTAAGCAACAACTAACACAAATGTATGTTTTCTTACTGGATTGAGACTTTAAATAGTCCAGGTTTTGTGATAAATATAACCCTGTCACAGCTAACTTTGTCAATTTATTATTTTATAGAAAAACATTGGAACAGTTTTATTCTTTTCATAAAACAAAACATAAAATGTAGCCCTTCTCACACATCATTTGTGTACAGTCCCTTCGGAGACACCGCTGAGTGGCTCGTGTAAGGACACGCTAACCCTACAAAAAGGCCTAAGTGGAGCGAAAGGTTTCTGTGGCAACTTAAAGGTCAGAAGTCAGTCAGAAATACTTAATTTTTCCTGGGGGAAATTGGGTTTAGTGACAGTTGCCCTGTTTTGGAATTAGATAATATTAAATTAAATTAAAATATGAAAAAGATATTGATATACAAATAACTTATAAGATTTAAAAGTTGAAATGTGCACATTGTACTACAGTTAAACCTGCTGTAACCTGATGGTGAAGTGGCCCTCGGGCTCTGATACCCGTGACACAGTCAACAGACAGCTTTATGACTTTGATGCCCTCCAGCTTCATGTGCACTGAGGCAGCAGGGCCAGCATCCAGAGCCGAACAATACATATAAAGACTGAAAACAGTTCATATGTATCACTGTCATGGGCTGGTCCTGCAGAGAGATGGGGGGCTGGAGAACTACAGTCAACTGTATGATCTGTTTTAAAAAAATGTTGTCAAGAGGCATGTTCAATTGAGAGAGACAGCTGCACAATCACAGCCTTGTAGCTAATCTAGATCACCAAGACAATCACTTTTGTATGGCACTGAATCAGATGACTAACACTTTGAAGCGGACCACTGCTTATTTTCTCTGTCAGCCGGAAAAAAACGTTTTTAACCTTAAGCAAGAATGAGGATTCTTCATCTTGTAATTTTTTGCTGCATCTTGGGTGAGTTTTTTTTCAAATCATCCGAATGTTTTATTTCTAAAGGTTACATTGTGAATTGGTTATAAATGTACTTGTTAATAAGGTGTACATTTATTGATGAGCCTCTTCTAATGCACTGGTAATGTTCAGTATAGTCAGTGGTGGATCGTAACATAAACCTGAGTTCTGTCAGTATTGTTTTATGCTACTTCATACTTCTACTTCACTACATTCTGGAAGCCAATACTTCTTAACTTTACTACATTTATTGGAAAGCTACTTTTTAGATTTAGATGATTATCTTAACAAAGTATCAATCAATTTATAAATGAACTTTGACATATTATTTAATATGTATGCAGCAGCGTTATAAAAAGCACTTAAAATAAGCCCTTCATTTACCAGCTATTACAAACAAACTAGGACATCAAAAATCACAATCCAGAAATTAAGAATATACAATTCGGAAATGGGCCATTACGAAATAGAAGAAATACTTTTACTTTTGGTACCTCAAGTATAGATAAGTAAGATTTTGAAAGCAATACAATTTAGTATACTTTTACTGGTTCTTCCACCACTGGGTATAGATTTTAAAATTGGTCTTCTTTTAAAAAATAATTTAGTTTGAACACCAGTTAAACATTTCCATCATAACTCAAACTTGCTTGCAAATAAACCTTCACAACCAAAAAGTGAAAGTCTACTGAATTAAAGTATGATATTGTATTTAAGACTATATTGAATCAGAGTTTATTGTAATAGTAGAAGTAGGAATGTCTACAGATCTTTGATTACCAATGAGAAACTAAATGTGTCAAATAAATGTAGTGAAGTAAAAATTACAACAATTGCCAACAAAATGTAATAAAGTACAAAAATAAAGTAGCATAATGTGAAAATACTCAAGCAAAGTACAAGTACCTCATTTTGTACTTACGTACGGTTACATTACCCCACTGAATGACATTATATAAAAACACAATGGTGTTAAGCCACAATTCAAATCAACCAAAAAAGGTGAAGCTGTAAAGTTATCAAGCAGATTATGCTATTGTGTTTATTTATCTTAATATGCTGCCCGGTCAAGCAATTTAATTTCATCCAACTGCAGTTGTGTAGATATCACCATCATGTAACAAAGGCCCTTTGTTCCGTAATGCAGGTGTGTGTGCTGAGGCTTCAGGAGTGCTGGAGGTGAGCGGCCATGTTGGAGGAGAGGTCTCCATCCTCTGCTCTGGCACCACCACCAACAGCTCTGAACTCTACAACATGTACTTCTGCAAAGGAGACTGCGCCAGAGAAGACATCCTGATTCAAACTGAGAAGAAGAGTTTGGCTATCACGCGACGGGGAAGATACAGCATGGAGGTCAGCAGAGGGGATGGAGCCTTCAACGTGACCATGAAGAGGCTGGAGAGGGCCGACACAGGGACATATCAATGCAGACTGGAGGAAACGTATAGAGTGTTGCACCAGGAGGTCAATCTCAAAGTCGAAGATGGTAAGTTCATGGGCAGATGCATAAAAAAAGTTAGCAAATTGCTTAAGGGGGCCGGGCTTTTTCGTAAAACAAAGTATGTCATTCATCCTCCTCATGCAAATCATTTTAGCACAGTCACACTTGGCCAAAAAAGCACCACCCTGAAGCGAAAAGGTCATGGTACCTTAGATCAAACAACCTCTGTGACAAAATCATTTGAAACCTGAAGCTGAAGGTGCATTCAAGAAATACAGAGGCTGTGGAGTGGAGGAAACGTATAACATTTTGCACCAGAGGGTCAACCTCAGAGTGGCAGATGGTAATTTTATGGATTAATGCATAGAGGTTCCCGCAGGCAATGAGACGGTTTGGGACGTTACTGATGCACTATTTATCTTCTAGTCAGGAGTGGTTATTTTGTATGAAACAAAGGTCA